AGTGAGGGTGATAGTTAGGGAGTCCTCGTCCACACAACTCCATGCACATTTCTTAACTTTATAAATTTGATGTCCCTGAATCCGTCACAACGCGCCAAGAAAACGTGGTCTTCACTGGGAATGATCTGAGAAGTTCAAATTCAGTTAGTAATGGCTCCTTCTAAGGGATTCTTGCTCATGTGAACTTGAAGTCGCCCTTACAAAAGCCTTTGTCGTACGGATTGGGGACCACGTCGCATACATAGGTGCGCTGTTGAACTTTGTCAATCACTGGGCCCGGTCATCTTTACATTGTTTTTCCATCAGAGCAAAGGGAATGAGGAAGGGTGAGCAAGTGAGTGAGGTGCCGTAAAAGTTTACCTAAGTTTAAACTAACCCACGCGTAAGTCGCCGGCGCTGTGCTCACTCCGTGGGGTATGCGGAGGACATAAGAAGGTATTTCGTAGAGGTTAATGTTGGATAAGGCCGCATATTCAATCATCAATAAACATTTTCGCTTGCCTGACACCTTAGATCCCCAGTTTGAAACCTGCATTAACCATACCTGAATTGGAAGTATGACTGGCTTGTGGTATGGAGCGGTGTCTGTCCCCCTAGTTTCTATCACTTCTCCTACATACAAGTTACATGGCAAACATTTTCCCGTCACTAGGCCATAATCACTCATATGGCAGCTTTCCTAGATGGCGTTTGCGACGGGTCAGTTATCTTCAGTATGACGTTGGTGGGAATCGGAAATGTTCTTGTCGCTAACCTAAAATATGATTTTACGCAATTAAGCACTGCTTCACCCTTGGTGGGCATGCGGTCAAAACCCTCCCAACAGGCCTAAAATTCTAAAAAAAACTGCGTCTTTTGAACTATCTTTTTAGGTGTGGAACGCAGCTGCATCGCAGATCTTCTTTTCTCTCGGACCGGGCTTTGGAGTCCTGCTGGCGCTATCGAGCTACAACAAATTTCGCAATAACTGCTATGGGTAAGGCGTGAGGATGCACTGTACAAATTACCTCTGGGAAGCATTTAACTCTGTTCATAACCGCTGGCCTCTTTTCTTCTCTATCTGTCCCCACGCCCGCCCAACTGCCATCCGCAGAGACGCGATGCTCACAAGTTTCATCAACTGCGCGACCAGCTTCCTATCCGGATTCGTAGTGTTCTCTGTCCTAGGTCATATGTGCTATCGAATGAAGAAGGAGATGTCCAAAGTCGCCAATGAAGGCAAGTTGCTTTTCAATGCTCCTTTCAACCACAGGCGTACGTCGTCGGTTATGCTCGAAGAGTAATACCAGAACGCCAAGACGAAGAATTGATGTTTTAGATGCCGCCTACTGTTAGAAGAATTAAAGGGCATCTGGCTCGCTAGGTGAAAATAGCGTTAATTAAGTTGTACTGACTGGGAAACAAAAACCCGGTCGAATTCGAATACGTTTTGAAATTTACTCCGCAATTATGGAGCCTCTGGGACTGTTTGAACTCCTGCAACAAGTCCTGATCGCGGTTCCAATCGACATACAGTGAAACTTCAGTTAACGAGTTTAATCCGTTCCCTCACCGAGCTCGGCATCTGAAACGCTCGTCTTTTGAAAAGTAGCCAATCAAAATGTAGCCGTTCACTGATTGGTTGCAGGTGATCGAGGACTCATGCCATGGGCTCAAGGCACAACGATGGACACAGGCACACACGCACGCACAGAGCACTCGTTAACTGAGCGGACGTTCGTCAATCGAAACAAGGTTACTGCTAGTGACTCGTTCTTTACCTGAAATACTCGTAGCTGGGGCTGCTCGTTACCCGAGCCTCCACCGTAGATTGATAAACGCCCGTACGACCGGGGAGCGACCTTATTAAGGCCAATGATGCTTGGATCAGTTAACTCATGTAGTAGGTTGACTTGCATGAGGCGACTTACTGATTCACTAGTTGTGTGCTAAACCTGTAGGTGGAATTGCCCATGGAGCTGATGACGGCCAATAAGCCAGAAACTGTCCATCTAGTCTCTCCCTCATTTTTGTAGTTAAGGTCTCTAGAGGATCTGGGGCGTTTCTGTGGGCGCTTAACTTCTGTTGGCAAACAGAGGGTCGTTGCTCTACCGGTTGAGAAGTAAAATTATTCCACTAAATGTCAGCCGGGAAGATTGCTGCGATGGGTGCCTAGTTAGAGCGGATACGAATAAAAAAAATACTTAAGATTCCGTGAACATGTATTTTAGACAAACAGACAAGAACAGATATGTCTGTAAGATCCTCCTCAGGTCTGAACTCCTGACACGATGTGACAGGCTACTGACCATAGCATTCGATGGGGAATACCGTCAGTATGCAATTTTACGTATTTTATTTCATTATATTACAAAGGAGAAATAAAGAACTGGAATCGTGGCCTTTATGTTTATGTTGCCATCTTCTGGTAGGCAAAATTCCAAAATTTTTCATCTAACTCGGCAAGAAACCGAAGTTACGTGGAAATCTGAGATTCACACTATGTTGAGCTAGTGAATATGTACTTCTGATGAGCTCTGCGGAACCCTCGTATTTCATCCTGCTGATAGTCCACCACACTGAAAAAACCTAGTAGGTAACGTACTTTTATGCGGTAGTGCAAGTTTCAGCTTTCAGGTCAATCTCTTTTATGGCGGAAAACGGTAGATACGATACGATTACGACCGCTTCTGCATTCGTAGTTCTCCTTTATATGTTGGAACATATCGCTGTGTGACCTAAGCATGTTAATCATATAATAGGAAGATGCGTTAGGAAAATAAATTTCAGAAATGAACAGCATTCAGGTGTTTCTAACTTGTTAGTGTTCTATTTTTCGAAAACAAACACAGCTTATCCCTTTGTTCGTCAGAGTCTTCTTTAAATTGTGCCCATTCTTATTTTATCGCCTAATAAGTTGCAGTGCTGGAGGGTAGCAGCTGTCGCTTAGATTACAATTTCTTGCAATGCAGACTAGACCTTAATCCCAACCATTCGAAACGTTCACTTGTTTTTGAGTCATCTTGTAATGTTGCGTGTTAAAATCACGTCGGGGTCACCACTGTGGTTAGACCACTGAGTCAGATCTAAGATTAGCCCGTAACTAACACTCAGGTATAAAAATGCCGAAAAACAACGGTAGGTCAAAGGTATGTAAGATAGTAAGAAAATAGTTACAGCCTGAAGTCCTTGTGTAAACCGGGCTAAAGTATCAGCGGTGTTGTCAGTGAATTCAAGCACAAGTGACAGCAAAGGAAATACGGAGGCGAGAATGTCAAAGTTCATCAATAGTTCAAGACCTCGCCACAGTGTTTCTCAATTTTGCTTCGATAAACCGTCAACGATTGTGCGCTAAACTCTAGTCCGTACCTTCCGTTCGTCTTTTGGGAACAAAGGAAGAGGATGGTAATCCCAGACTTTCATGTACCGACTCACGACCGTCCATTCAACTATTCCCTATCCTTATAACAGGCCTTTGATCATGAAGATTACACGAAGCTGTGTTTAATTGTTGGATTTTTAAACTTTATTTTTCAGGAATAGGCTTGTGAACTACATGAGCGTATAAGGTGTCCAGTCTACGGCCCTCATAGGCGATCGTCGATCGCCTATTGGTGTAACAAACAGAAGGCAAATTCCAATGGCAGGTTTTGGCATCCTTTCGGTAGGAGATTTGACAAATAATCACAAATAATCTGCTTGGTCGCAACTGACGAGACAAAGGGCCCGTAGAGCTTTAGACTCGAAAATTCTCGCTGATTTAAGAACCCCAGTTGGCCTCTCAGGTCAACCAGACCTTTTCGATACTACTTCGAGCAAGACGAATGGTTCGTGTCATCTCGGAGCATTGAACAGGGGTCCTCAAAGGAAAAGCTTATAAACGGGAGGAATAAAAGCTTGTGCATGCATTGTAAAATTACAGTTGGATTACTTTCGACAAAGGCATCCTTGTAAGACCAGTGCGGTCAATGATAACAGTAGAAGAATATGCTAGGAAACGTTTTTCTTAATGGGCGACATAGAAGCCGGTGCTTCTAGAAATTACAAGAATGTTAATGTTACCACGCAACACGTTAATATCGATAAAGTCTACATTATCTGGTTTTCCTGCCTCTGTAAACAACTGCGGGACCAGGTCTCATCAAACCTGTCGTTTCACGCAGATCTTCCTCCTCTCTCGTTTCTTTAGGTCCGAGCTTGGTTTTCATTGCCTACCCGGAGGCCATCGCAACCTTATCAGGATCAACCTTCTGGGCAATCATTTTCATGCTGATGCTGATTACACTAGGACTGGACAGTACGGTGAGTTAATATCTATAAACGATTGCTACTTAAACATAAAAGTAAGCAATATATAAATGATTTATTTCTTTCCAAATGCAGTTCGGTGGACTTGAGGCCATTATCACTGGAATACTGGACAGATGGCCAAAACTTCGTCGAAGAAGAGAACTCGTAGTCCTTATAATGGTTATTTACTGTTTCCTGGGAGCACTGCCAACGACAACTAACGTAAGTTTACACAAAAAAAATACAACACCGAAAAAAGAATTAATTTCAATCTCGATATTCTAATAAAGGGGTAATAGAAACGGCAAAATCTATGCGTAATTTATGTTAATTTATTCCAAATTAGTGCTCAGTGACAATGTTTAGGCCAAGGGCCTTGCATTTTCTGTGGGCATAATGCCCTTCTTATAAAGTTTGTATTGATTTGCTTAGCGTGTGATGAAAACTAAGTGGCTTTTCCAGCGATTAATTTTTCGGGCTATTTTTCGGAAAATTCGACCTATGCACTCGAACTTTATATAAAATAATACGAAGGTCGGTAAGTTTAATTAAAATTGATCTGAAAAGCACACATTCTCACACTTCGCTAGTTTTTCAATGTCGGTGTGTCTCCTTGAATGCAACATATCTGCAATAACCTCCAA